AAAAAAAAAAAAAAAAAGTTACAGCACAAGATTTAGTGCTGACAAGCAAAAAACTCCTTGTATTTCAATAAAGAAAAGGACTTAGATCTAAGAATGGAGACGAACCACAGGTTAGATGGCACCAGCACTGACCACCCTCTCCAAAAAATAATTAAAATATAAAGTAAAAGTTAAGTGCGAATGTTATGATAGAAGTTAAACATAGGTGTAACTTATAGGATACATAAGAAGTAAAAGTGTGTTCAAAAAGTAGTGAGCGGCTTCCGCCACCCCTCTGCGGTTAAACTGTGTCAAGCTTTTGTCTTTCAATAAACTCTGAGTGTCTTAATGTAGCGCGTCTTCTATTTCTTCCTGGTTGTTCTGTGGGCTCAGAAAGAGGCTCCAGTTGAGAGACTCTGGCCTAGGTAGCCCCCAGTGTGTCTCGAAAGGTACCGGCAGCCTACAGGGTGGCACCCCGCCTCGTTGGGGCCTATCCCGGGTGCCCTGTTGGAGTGTTACTTGTTTGTTGGTGGTGTGTCTTTCAATTCTGCATCTGACCTCGCTGAGAACCCAGGGTTTAAAAAGTTCCAGCACGCTTTCACTCCCACCTTAGTCTCTGAGTGTTGTGATCGCAGGCGTGAGCCACGGCTCTCGGCCTACTTTCTCTATTTTTGAGTATGAATCAGGGCATGGAAAGGAGGAATCCATCAGATGGATTCTCCACAGGTCCCTCTGCTGCCTGCGTGGGAAGGCCCGGCCTGAGATTTCTCCCTGGGGGAGGCTGATCTTCCCAGGAGGGGGAATTGTGGTCAGGAGGTGAGAAAGTGTGAAGGATGCACTTGTGTGTTTTTAGCGGGGGAACTGTTTGCCTTAGAGGAAGTGAGAGCCCTCTGGGACCCCACCTATACTTTCTCAAATAAAGCCAAGACTGAGGGAGCGCATCTCGTACCCCGAGGATAATTGTTGTTTGTGAAACTTCACTGCAGTTATACACAGACATGCACACGAAATACAGACCTCTCCGGGATGCGTGTGCTCTGACTGCCATGTGAGATGCATTTCTTATTGAGGGTCAGGGGCAAAAATATATTTAAAGATTAAAAATGCAACATTACCAACCTTGACCTCCTTAGCAGCATCTTAGCTCCCCTATTACTTGGTGGTATTGTGTCCATCCCGGCCATCATCCGGACCATGGACAGGCCATTTAAACAAGGGACACCAGAGCAAGGTGTCCAAGCTTGCCATGCAGCCTGCTGGCCCTGTCCCTCCAGGTCTGACTGTCCTGAGCTGGGTGGTGTCTGGCAGGCAGTCAGGACAGTACAGGCTTGGGCCTGCCCTGAGTCAGCGTGAGGTCTCTGCCCCAGCTCTGTCCTCACACCCTGCCTGGGTGGAAGCAGCTGCAAGCAGGGGCTTCGTGGCCAGGCCCTGGAATGCAGGAGTCCAGTGCTTATTTCACTTCAGGGAGGGGACCAGCCCCCAGGGACATGACCTTCCCTCATCAGCTCCACCCTCTTTGTCTTCTTTTCAAGGTTCCTATACCCCTGTCCTAGATGACCCTCACTCTGCCCTGTCCCTGGGGGGAGTCTGTGGTCACCCCGGCACATGTGGGGTGGCCCACCTGGCCCATTTCCTACCTTCTTGGTACAGGGTTCCCCCATTCGGTGCTGGACTGAAACTAACCCCTGAGCCCCCTGTTTTCTAGACCTGAGCAAACGGACTTTCTTTTTTAAAACGCACTCTCAGAACACAAGCAGGATCGGAGAAAAGCAGCCTGGCCAGTATTTCCTATAAGCTTCGCCACTTCTGGAGTGGAGAGCACACTCCCTGCGGCTTTGCCCTGAGCCAGAGGGTCGGAATTTCAGTAGTTAATAGCTTAGCTCATTCTCTAAGCAACACTGGGAAGATGTTTTCCATCTGCCAGCATCTGGCCAGTGTGATGTTCTACTCCCAAGACCTCCGTGTTTACAAACTTCCCAGTTGGGTCTCCCCTCTCTGTTGCCAGAGGCTCTGTCGCCCTTCATTCCTTCCATACCCTGTCATGTCACTGATCTGTGCAGTCTGTGGGTTCATTCTTTCAATCTCTGAGATCAAGAACCCGCTAGAGAAAGAAATTCCATCCACAAATATTCTGATCCTCCCTGGAGCGCCCAGTGTGGGACTGTGTGTAGGGGGATGGGCAGGGCACTGACTAGGAGGCACAGGCCATGTGGAGGACTGTCACCTGAGTCTCTGTCTGGGCCTCCCTGAGGGCACACCAGTGTTACCCCACCCTGTCACACTCCCTACATGCAGGAACCCCCTGGCCCAGGGTCTCAGTGCTGGAGGTCACTCGCTGCCCCTGCCTGGCCCTCCCAGGCCCCCCCTGCACAGTGGCCTGCTTCAGTGGGCTCAGCAAGAAATGGAAACTTCCTCAGCAGGGGTGCTGGGCCCAGGGCAGGACTTATGAGTCTCTTAGTGCCTCTTTCCTCCTGCTTTCTATATCCTGAGCACCAGGAAACTAAAACTAACCCCTGAGCACTAAGAAACTGAAACTCAGAGGCTCCAGAACCCAGACCCTCTTCTTCATGAGCCAGTGAATAAAATTTCCAGTTTGGTGTCCTCCACCCCCTGCTTTCCTTACTGTGGTCTTGCCCTGCTCACAGTCTGAGCCCAGGACAGAGAAAGCTCCAGGAGTCCTGACAGGGAGCTGCAGGCCCCAGGAGTCAGGGGCCACTCCTGGGGTCATGGGTGGAGAGAGGATGTGGGGTGGGAGGTCCTGCTGAGAGTCACTTCCTCCTTCTGTAGCAGAGTAGGGTCAAGAAAGAAAGATTTCTGCCTCTTAGCTCTCCTCATGGGATGACAAGGGGTTTAGCTTTCTGATACCATTACACAACCAACCCAGGTTCCTTGTTAAAAACTGGGGAGCACAGGTCCAAAGGCCCCACCCATCCCACTACACTCCTACCCTTACTGATCTCACCAAGGCCAGGTGCTGCGGGTGAAACCTGGTGTGTGGGGTCGGGGCAGAGGTGATGGGAACAAGGATGGGGCTTGCATGAACATGGCATAGACCTCCTGATGCTGGGGGTCTGTTGCCCCCACTTCTGAGTGCCTGAGGAACACACACCAATGGCCATGTCCCTTGCTGATAACTCTGACTTTCTTCCCCATGGGCTGTGGCACTAGAGGCCCAGAGGGATACACCCAGCCCCTCCCACCTGCTACCTGGCTCATATCAGAGGTTATAATTGTGGGGGTCAAGCCTGTGGCCTTCGAGGGACCCAAGCAAAATTTCCAGGGTGGGGCTCAGAGAAGGGTCCCCTTTCCAGGCAGCCCATAGGGTTATCTTCTAGCCAAGATTGTACAAAAACCAGTCCTGGAGCAGCCTGAGAGGTTTCTGCACTTAGGACTTGGTCTCCCCAGGAGGACTTGCTGTGTGGGGCCTTGGCAGTGAGGAAAGGGGAAGACACATGGATTCCCCAGCCCTGGGCAGACCCAGAGGAGAACTGAGAAGACCTGGGAAGCTGGGCCACCACAGGCCCAGGCAGGCTGTGGACACACCCGGTTTCCAGGGGACCTGAGGAAGGGAACCCTCAGGCTGGGGACCCCTGGAAGTCACAGCAGGGACAGGGATGAGGGCGTCAAGGGGCAGATCCTGTGGATCTGGAGAAGGGGCGCAGTCCCTGCCTGGGCCTGCCCACCAGGGGCTTCCTCAGGAGCCCACAGCAGCTCCTGGGAGGCCTGCAGGGTCTAGCACCAGGACTGGCCACCCACACTGTGGGTAGATGCTGGGAAGGGGCAGCTGGATCAGCCCGCAGAGAAACACAGGGGGAGGTACATGCTGGGTGGGGCTGGCAAGTCCCAGCTGCAGGGCCTGAGAAGGGTTGCTCTTCCTCCTCCCTCTACTCCCCCAGGCTATAGGAAATGGAAACTTAGTGCCCTGGGTTCCTTCCCTACCCCAGGCTCCTCCTTTTCTGGGAAACACCCGCCCTCTCCCCACCCAGGGAAGGGCAGCAGGGACCAGGCAGAATCACTTCCCACCACTGGAGGTCAGGGCTGCCTCTGGCCTCAGGCCTGAAAGGACTCTGCCCTCCAGCCTCTAGAGCAGAGGGAAGGCACCTGCCTGAGGGTCACAGACCCAGGAGGGAAAAGGGGCTTTAACTCTGATCCCGTTTCTCCTTCTGCAGAAGGGGAATAGCCACACTGGTTTCTCGGTGAGAAGTGAAGAGAAATAACAAATAAAGTCACCTGGAAAGGAGAAGAATGTGCCAGGAAGGTAGAATTTGTTACAGAAATTCCTGGGACGGCTTACACCCCATGTGGCTCGAATCCAAATTCCCAGCTACATCTTTGGGTTCCACTTCCTCTCCCCATCCCACGAGGGCTTGCTGGTCACTGTCCCTCTGGCCAATTCGTGTTGAGTGAACAGCCCAGAGAGAGCCTCCTCGCTAGGCCCAGATGCTGTGTCAGGGATCCCACTGCCCACCAGGTGCCTCAGCTGTGCCTGGTTGAGTCCTTGTCACATCCCCTTTGGTTGGCAATAACACTCATTCACATGCTTCAGAGGGACCCCAGGAGACAGGCCCAACTGTGGTTAGCTTGTGGGGCTGGTATTCTGAGCCCCCACCCTGTTGGACCCTGACATATAGCACAGCCACTGGCCAGCTTGTGAAGACCCTGCCTGGTTCCCTCTCACCATCCCTGGGACTTGGGAATGTTCAGAATGTTGGCGAAACAAATGAACTGATACCCACAGAGACACCAGACCAAGAGCCTATTTCACAAGCTCCTTCATTCTTGTTTTCTCAGCAGCCAGAAGCACAGCACACCCCCCAACCCCCCAACTGTAGACCACTGGCCTGGGCAGCAGCAGGCCTGCCAGATCTGGGATTGGACAGGCTAGGGAGTGTCCACCCGTCCTGTGTGAGGGCCCCTGCTCCTCCCACAGGCCCTGCATGCGACAGGGCCACACACCTGCCTCCCAATCCCCACGGATCTCCAGAACTCTGATCCTGGCCTCCTTCACTCCAGCTTGCCCAGGTACCCCGTCACCAGGTTCTAGCACCCAGGGTGCTTCTTGTCCCATGGGTGTCCCCTCCTGCCAGTTCTGGGCTAGAGGACTCCCTACTTTCTCTCCTCCAGCCCCTGGGGGAGGCTGAACTCTCTGACCCATCCAGCCTGGGGAGGAGAAAGTGCAGAAACCACAGTGAGATTTCCTTCCATGCCTGGTGAGCAGTTGGCTGGGGCTGGGGGCCTCTTCTCCTCCTCTCCCAGTGCCCCAAGTGGGCCTGGGTTTGGGGCTGTGCCACAGAGGACCCCCAGGCCCTGGAATCTGGGCTCTCTGCTCCTCCCTTCCCAACTAGGACCCTGCTGGGAGGGGCCTCCCAGGCAGGGGTCAGCCACACCCAAAACAAGGGGGGCACATGTGTTTATTTGAGGCACCAAAGCAGCAGAAGGGCTCCAGTGAGGGTGCAAGGGGTAGGCAGGGTGGATGGATTTAAGGGTGGGGGCCCAGATCAGAAGGCAACCCTGCCTGGCAGAGGCTATGTGGGGTGTGGGCACAGCAAAGACAGCAAAGGGGATCTGTGGGTTCTGCAGGCTGCTCCCATCTTCCCTCCCCCAAAGAGCCACACTCACCCCTGCAAAGCCCAGGACCACAGCCTCCCACATTCTCAGGCATCCTATGTGGTATGGCCAGCCTGGGGCCACCAGGGCCTGGGGCTTAGGTGTCCCTTCCTATATGTCCACAGGACTTAATTCTGACCTCCCAGCACCCTAAAACTCCAGGGGGATCCTCCCCTTTCCTGGGCCCCTGGAGATCACACCCCTGACCCTGAATTGAGGGCAGTTGGCCCCACTTGGGCAGGGGCTGGAACAGGTGTAGGTAGTGGGCCTGACTCTGGGGCTGAGGGGGCACTTCCAGGTGCAGTAAGGGGGTTGGGGGGTTCTGGGCTTTCCTTCCTGAGCTGGGGGTGGGGGCACAGGGTCTGAGTGGTCAGGGGCCAGGCCGCAGCAGAGCTGGTAAAAGGCTGAGCAGCAGCCCAAGGCCCAGCAGGGTGGTGCTGGCCCGAAGCCCACCGTCAGCTGCGCTGAAATTGCACAGGAAGCTCTGGCAGCAGCGGGTACCCACGGATGCCACGCCAAGGTTGACACTTGGGCCAGGGCATATTGGGGAGCAGCCCTTGTTCAGGGTGTAGCCAAAGTCCACGACGTTCCCTGTGCAGGAAAACAAGTTTGTGAGGGGAGACATCTTGGCTGCAGCAGACAGGGGAGGTGCCTGGCTGTGGCTGGGGAGGTGGCCAGGCAGATGGCAGGCTCTGAGATCCCCCCTTTAAAACTCACCAATGCCAGCAGCAGCGGACACGGTCACACAGTAGTTGTCTGCATCGGAGCAGACGGTCGGCTTCAGGCAGTACCAGTTGCTGTTCTGATTTGTGCAGGAGAAGCACACCAGCGAGTGGGCTGCCGGTAGAAGCCACACCTGTGTCATGCCTGGGGAAGTCTCCAGTATCCCCTCCCAGGCCTGACCCTGGCACTTAAACCCAATTGTTTGCGGACATTTATTGAGAAACTATTGCATGCTTAGGCCCTGGGCTGGAGCCCAAGGCAAGATGATGACACCAGACCCTGGCCATGGAACAGCTCAGCTGACACCCAAACACAGGATGATGACAGTGTGGCTGGGCCAGGATTGAGACCTCCAGGGGGAACAGCCAAGCAAATGATTATGGGGAGAGAGACCAGGAAGTTCACATGGGAGCTGGTCTGGAAGGACCTCTGGGGCATCTGCTCAAGGAGAAAGGGAGAGGGAGTCCATCTTACCTCGCTCCATACCCAGAAGACCAGCCAACAGCACCGCCAAGAAGACCTTCATTCTGGAGGGGACAGATGTCACCGTCTAGGGGCTCCAAAGCCAAAGAAGCCTGTCCTGCTATGGAAAGACAGAGCTGGTCAGAGGGCCAGGTTGCCCACCCCATGCCCAGGGCTTTGCTCTTCTCAAGGGCCACATACCCCCACTCTGTAAATGGAGATGTGGGGGTGGAACAGGCGCAGACTAGCCACACTACTTTGAAGTTGGGGGCTTCTTTCCTTTCACTTGGTGCCCCCTAAGCCTGCGGGCACTAGAGGCCAGACAGGGAGCTGGCCAGTTCTCAGAGTCACACAGAAAAAGGGCAAAGAGAGTGGGCCTGGCATGGTGCTGGAGGTGCTGAATGGAGCTCAGAAATGATGTTGTTAATCTGTACCCAGGACTTTCCCCGGGCCAGCTCTGTGCCCAGACAGCTCCCTCAATGTGGAGACCCGGGGGCAGTGCCTGGGCATGACTCAGGAGGAAGCCTACCCACTCCTTCAGTTCTAAAGACAACATTGCTAGGCCATCTGCTGTACCCACCATCTGTGGCTGGGAAGTAGGCTCCTAGTCCCGGCTATAGGAAGGGGCACAGGTGAGGTGAGGCTCACCAGGGAGTCGTGGGGTCTGCTCCTGGGTGAGCTGCAGCCAGACCCCTTCTCAGGCAGGAGCCCAGGCACTAGGTAGGGAAAGAACCTGGAGAATAGCCAGTGGATGCTCTGGCTCCCTACCTTGTGTGGCAGACTGTCAGGGAAGCCTGCTGCCAGGGACAACCCTGGCCCTGGGGAGCACTCGGGCCACTGAGGTGAGGGAGGAGAATGCCAGTGAGAGATACATCTTGGGAAGGGCTGGCAAAGACCCTGAAGGGGAGAGCAAGAGGCCAGGCCCCTGACCTGGGCTGACAGCGTTCTGAGAACAGGGGCCCCAGATGGCTAAGAACAGCGTGGAGCTCAGCTGGGACCTCTCCCCACCTCTAGGCAGCCCAAGGAGAAAGGAATCTCCATTTCCTCCTCCATCAAGTGAGGTTTTGGTGTGGAGGAACCCTGAGCTATCTCCAAGGAGGCCTTGGTATGCAGGGACACAAACAGGTCCAGCTGGCACTGCCACCTGTCCACCCGCGCCTCCCAACCAAGCAGGCTGCCAGATGGAGTTGTGCACCCCCTGGAGTGCAAGGGCAGTTAGAAAAGCCGGGAAGGGCTGTCTGATGCTCTCTGATGGGTAAAGGGAGTCAGTAGGTGGTGGGGACAGTGCCACCTGGGTCCCAGGCTCACAGGAGCTGCCCAGCCAGCAAGAAAGGTCGGAGCCTCTCCTGGTCTCCAGGGATGGGAAGGGACCAGGTGGGCTACCTCGGGAGGCCTGGGCTCCCACGCCCCTCACTTGCACACACTTGTTCACCGTCAATGCAGGAACAAAGAGCTTCCACCCTCTTCCTTGGGGCAGGTTCCAGCCCGCCTGGGTGACCTACTAGGGCAGTTAATTCTCCCCTTCCTGCCAAGAGCTTCCCCAAGATCCCGCGCCCCTCCTCAAGTTAAAAAATGCCGTCCTCCCCCAGTCCCACGCTGGGGAGTGAGGGATGTCTAGAGTCGGGTGATGGGTCCCCGTGGCTGTGCAGCCCTGGGCCACCCGGGAGGGCGCCTGGCAGTGGTCTCCGCTCGCTGCTGTTCCAGATCTCTGGGGGGATGGGAGCGGAGTCTCAGGTCCCCGGGGACGTGCCCGCCCGCAGCCCCGGACCCCAGCCTCCTGCAGCCTCTCTCCTGCTCCTCAGCCTGTGCTCTTCTCCCCTCCCCCGTAGGGTGCCATCCGCCGCGCGGGCTGGGCCGGGGAACGCGCGCGCACCGCAGCGCAGCTTGTCCTGTCGCGGCGCGTCCCCGCCAGCTGCGAGGACGCCCCAGGCCCCGGCCCCGAGGACTCACCGCCAGTGAACCCAAGCGCCAGCGGCCTCGCGGAGCTGCCTAGTCCTCGAGCTCTCCGGCTGGCGACGAAGTCGGCTACTCCCAGGCAGGCCGCGCGCTGGGCCGATGGCGGGGGCGGGCGCGGGGCGGGACCTGGGGTGGAGTCGGGGGCGTTCCCGCGGGCTGGCTCAGGGGTCCCAGGAGCCCTACGCTCCGGTGCGGATTCCAAAAAGCCTGGCCCTTCCCCGCGGCGCAGGCTCCTCCATCCCCAGACTCTGACCTGCACTCCGCGTCAGCCAGCTCGCTCTGGGCTTTCCGGTCACCGGCCCGCACTCCCTGTGACAATGAGGAGGCCAAAGCCCAAAGAGGGGCTGAGAGGTCTCCCCCAGCCCCCCAGCGAAGTGGCGCCTCAGGCAAGCCTGGGTTCTTCCACGTGGCCCTGCTGTGCGCTTGGCCGGTCCTTCCTGTTCTCTCAAGGGTGATGACATCGCGGGACCGACCTAGTGAGGTTGGATAGGAGACTAGGTCACTGAAGCAGTCACTGCAAACACCTCGTTCTGGTCAGGGGTGCGGTGGCACAGGGCAGGTGATGCTCCCACGGAGACCCACACGTGTTTGGGGGCTGAGCACATAGGGGGCGACGGAGCAGTCTGGAAATCACTTCTGCAGGGCAGGGTGTGGGAGCGAGGACCAGGGGTGCCATACTCCGCACATACTCAAACTGGGGCTTCCTGAGATCTTCTGGTCTCCATCTCCTTTCCAGACTGAGCAGTTTCTTGGCTATCCCACACCTAGGGTGGGGAGATGGAGCGAGGATTGGGAGGTTGGAGGTGTGGGTTCTGGCTTCTGTGGCTCCCATGACCCAGGTCTGGCCAGGAGAGCTGGGTGGGGCTAGACCCCGCCTTCCCCTTGAGCTCTGGAGCCTCCTGAGCATCCCTCCAATCCTCAGCCAGGACCCTCACCTTGGGGGGACCCAAGAGCACTCAGCAGGCACGGACGTTCTTGTACAAAGTCAGTCTGACCTGCCCACCCCACCGCCATGGAAGCCCCTCTTAGAATGAAGCCCCAGTTCTCACCCTGACCTTTCCTGAATGCCTTCCAGCTGCTCTGTTCCCTGGTGCACCCAGAGTGCCTTCCCCTGCCCCCACCAGAGGTTTGCAGAGTACCTGCTGTTCTCTCCTGTCCCTGCATCAGGGGGCAGGGCTGGGAGGGCTGGCAGTCCCTCTTCTCCTGACTGCCCTGCAGAGCCCTTCCTGGGCAGTTGTGGCACATTGGGTCTCTGACACCTGCGTGTCCTCCAGGGCCACAATGCACACAGTGCGCGTCCTGTCAGGAGCCTTGGTGCCTGCCAATACTCAGCCCTGGGGGGTGTTGGGGGGGAGGCAGGGAAAGGGCTTCTTAACTGTACACAGGGAGAGGGAGGGAACTGGGGAGTGGGTGCCCTGGATGAAGCTGGGGCAGAGGAATAGGTCTGGGGTGCATCCACTGTGGTGTGAGTGTGTGTGGGCACTTGTGTGTGCAGTGTGTGAATGTACTGTAGAGGCTGAAGCTTGAGCTCTGTATGTGTCACTAGATGTCCCTGACAGGGTGTGGTGACATCCTTCAGTTGGGGTTCCATAGCTTTGGGACTGAGCCCCAGCTGTGCCCAGGGGCAGGAGACATCTAGCAGGTGTGGCCCGGGCTGTCCTGTGCTGGGTCCTTGGTGCTCTGCTTCCGCTTCTGGGTCTCATCGTGGGGGACAGGTGTGTCTGGCTTGGTGAGGCTGTGTCCTCCTGTCCATCCTTGGTTCTTGTACTTCACATGAACTTTGGGTTAGTCCTGAATGGCAGAGCTTAAAAGCTCTCCCAGCTTCCATGGGGCCCCTCAGCCCGGCCTTGAATGGAATGTGAGGGTTTCCATCCCCTCTCTGTCTCAGGGTTTCCTGTCAGCTTTGTATCTGCTGCTTGCTCAGGGTGCCACCACCAGGTGGCTGGGGCTTCCTGTGCACCCAGCACCTAGGGCCACCTGGCTCCTGTCTAGCGCCCATTGAGCAGGGGTGGGCTTTGCCCCATTCAAGACAAGGCCCTTTGATTCAGAGCACAAGCTCACCTGGAGGGGGCCCTTGTGATTCTGGATGTTGGGCTCGCAGCACGTCTCCATGGTCACTGCTGCAGACTGACCACTGGACTCATGTTACCTGACAGCTAAGGATGGAGACCCCTGTCAAAATCCCATCCCCACCAAACATCAACAGATACACCCAGCTTTTAAAGGGAGGGCCCTGAGTTCCAGGCTGTTGTTCTTCAGCTACAGTTAATGATTCTAGTTGTCCCATCTCTGGCCAAAGGGGATAGGAAGCTGTGACTTCCTGGCCTCCTGCCTCTCCCACCTGCCAGGACCTGTAGCACAAAGAACAAAAAACATCCGTTGCCCTTCCTGACCACTGGCCTGAGACAGGAATGCAGGTTTTAGTTCTTAAAGGGGGGGGGGGAGTTTTAAAGAGACAGAAAACATTTTTTATTGTTTTTGCATCCCCCCCCCCCACACTGACCTATCTTTGGGGGAGGGCCGACTGCTGTTATACCCAAACTTAGGGCGAGCCATGTGGTGGAGCCTGTGGGGTCAGTCCTGGAGGTGGGTCAGGTGGGGAGCCATGCATGTGGGGTTGGATTAGCCAGCTGGGCTTACAGGGCCCCTGGATGTCACCTTGAGGTCTATTTTTCTGAAAGGAGGGCCTTCCCCAGGGGCCTTGCATAGCCAGGGTTGCCAGCCAGTGCACATTCCCTGGGATCTGGACTGATGCCAGAGAGTCTCCATAATGGCCCCCAGCCATGGCGGATACACTCACCTTCCCTCCTTTACCCCCAACTTCTCAGTAGGGGTCCACTTCTCAGTAGGCGCCCACTTCTCAGTAGGCGCCTCCTCTGACTGGCCGGTGCTCTCTTCCCTTCCTGTCAACTCAGCCACCCCACTGCCCAGACCAGGGACAGTCGAGGCTGAAGTCCTGGGTTGCTCCTTCCAGGCTGGGTCTGCACATTCATTAAGCAGAGAATGGAACTGTCCTTGTTTTTTTGCTTCCTTTGAAACGGTCCTTCCTGCAGATAATCCTGAACCTTTTACAAGACCTCCAGCAAATGACCTTTGATCCCCAGGAACATCCTGAGATACTGAGCTGTGGCTGACTCCCACCACCTCCTGAGCTGCACCCTGAATCCCTTTAAAAGAGGCCCTTTCCCCTAACTCATGGCTGTTGCTATTTTTTCCTCCTAACTCATGGCTATCCTCCACCTGCTGCAGATATTTTAATAAATGTCCACCATTAACTCCACTGGGCCTGCTTCCTGACACCTTCTACCCTAATGCACAAAAAGACCTTCTGATCTGATCTGTGCCACGGGCTCCCCTCTGTTCTGGCCTCATCCTGCCTGCCGAGGTGCCCCACTCAGCCCCTGCAGCCCTCTCACATCTTGTGATTACTAGTTTCTTTTTCTTTTCTTTTCTTTTCTTTTCTTTTTTTTCCTGAGACAGAGTCTCAAGCTGTTCCCCTGGGTAGAGTGCCATGGCATCACAGCTCACAGCAACCCCCAACTCCTGGGCTCAAGCGAGTCTCCTGCCTCTGCCTCCCAAGTAGCTGGGACCACAGGCGCCCATCACACACCCGGCTATTTTTTGGTTGTAGCCATCATTGTTGTTTGGCGGGCCCAAGGCTGGATTCGAACCCACCACCTTAGGTGTATGTGGCTGGCACCTTAGCTACTTGAGCCATAGGTGCTGAGCTGTGATTACTAGTTTCAAACTCACCAGTGGCCTTGGGCCCCTCACATGGTTGTCTGCTCCCAGGAGGCCCCTGCAGGAGGCCTCCCCTTGAGTTTCTAGAAGCTCCTGGGTTTTTCTGAAGCTTCCTGTCTCCAGCGTGTGGGGCAATACCTCTGTGGGTGAAGAACAAACCAGTGGGGCCGGAGACCAGAGTCCTGCCTGGGGGAAGAGAAAGGAGAGGGTGGGAGAGATTCTGTCCCTGAGGCCTGGAGCACCTAACATAGGGAGAGCCTGGAACAAGGGCTATGGGATTTATGATTGGGGAACGGGGATGAAAGCCAGTACATGTGTGTGTGGGACACCACAGGCCACCCCTGGTTTTCAAGCATGGATCACTTACTGCAAAATGGCCATGTCTGTCAGAGTGCCCAGTGCAGCATTTGTAAAACAGACACAGCAGCTCTGTCAACCCAGATATGCCTAAGGATTGGGGAAGCCCATGTGGGGAGGGATGGACATTACCAGAGCTCTGTCAAGCCCTTGATGGTATTGTACTAGGACCTTTTTAAAAAACCCCATTGTCCCATGAAAGAGTTATATATGCAAAGTGATCCCCAAATGTAGAATAGGCCTATAAACCAAAGAACAAGGCAGACAAATCCAGTTTGTCAGTAAAGGGTGACTTATTGGGGACCCTGCCCCCCCAATGCACGTGTCCTCTGGGGCTTGGGATGGCCTCCAGTCAGGCAGCAGTGCCATGTGCCACAGAGCTTGGGGGTTGTGTGACAGCATCACAGTTGCTGTGACCTAAAGCAGGATGGACAGTGAGCACACATCCTCACTCTCAGGACAGTAAGTAAAACAAGATGGAGGTGTTCACAGCACAGGCGCTGGTGTGCATGACATGGTGGAGCAGCAGTGGCGACTTCGCTCTTGTCTCCATGCCCATCAATTCCCAGGTCATCCCTTCTTCCCTTTTCTTAGCAACAAGGCTAAAGATCCCCACCCTGCTGGGCAAGTCCCATGGCTCAGCCCTTTCTGTCCCCATTAGTTTCATTCCCAATGTTGTCTGTACTCATCTTATTTCATAAAGACTTTAAAACTCTTCACCTTCCTGGGATGAGTCCTTTGACTGTCCTTTCTACCTCCCCTTACTCTCTTGTGAATGCTGATGTTTTATTAGTGTCTGTAAACCCCTGAGGGGAAGCTGTGGTGGCAAATTGGAGGAGGGTTCTCTGTCAGTAGCTTGATTTTGCAGCAGTAACGTCACATGGGCATTTATGTAGAAGCGGGACAAGTCAGGGCAGTTACCTCGACCTGGGTGACAGGCATATTCAGCAGTGAATAGCCGGGTCCTGCATGGTATCCAAACTGGTCAGCTTTTGCAT